GAGATGAGCACTGTCCCCATAGAATTGGACACAACTGGACAGAGGAAACCTTTAACTTTTTATCTTTGTCAACATGCATGCTCACACACCTCACTCAAGCCATAATGATTCTTTATCACCATTTCATCCACACTTTTGAGTTGGACCAAAGGTTTCCATATAGGATTTAGAATTTGGACACACTGTATATATCAGTTTCAGAAATATACCTTAATTTAGTTCTAAGGTTTCTTTGTTTTATATCTTGTTATTATTGAGTTTTGCATTAGTGCACTTAGTCTTTTCACTTAGGAGAAAGGCAGGACATAAATTTTAGCAAGGGAAAAAACATTTTTCTACAGTGATGTTAAGTGAAACTTTGGCTTGGTTCCCACATACTGAGGTTGTTTATTTTCAGTTCACCTATTAGGGCTTAGTGCTGTATATTCATCAACACAATATTCAATAAAATATGGTTAAAATTCCTATGTAGGTGTTACATGTGAAGCAGGCTATTAAAATGATTATTTCACTGGGAAAATATTAGATAGTTTGTGCCATATTAGCACAAATGAAAAAAAAGTGCTAAGTTGCTGCAGAATTAATGGTAATTCAGAAGGCAAAAGCATCATTTTGAAATCATAGAGCTACTTTCAAATGGACACAGAGTCCTTGTGCACTACTTGAGATTTTTTATTATCTTTAGAACTATGTTTATACTAGCTCCAATCAAGAATCAGTAGCATGATATAAAATACTTGTATGAACCTATTGTTGATTGTCACAATCACCTCTAGAAGTCTTCAACAATTTTCAACAAGATTCTGTTTGGAAGTTGAGTGATGGCAACTGGATTTGTATTTTCATTTTTTATCCAAGTAGCAGTTGTGAACAGTTCAGTAGGAAAATAGCATAGTTAAGTATTGGTAGATTTATTCATACTTGATTTTGAACTATATTGTGGATTTAAAATATAGCAAGTTATATCTTTGAACATTCACTTAAACGTTTACCTATTTCATTTTTTCTTCCCATCCAAAAGCTTTTACTTTACACAAATGAAATATTACATAGAGGAATGATGCCTTTTAGCAATGTCATTCCTATGGTTTTTTTTAAATGTTGACAACAGTATATTTAACTGTTCATACCATCATCATTTAGTAGGGAAATGGTAGCATAGAAAGTGTTCTGCTTTGTTCAGTACGAATCCATTTGAAATATGAATATTGACTCATTTATAAGCAGAATAAACAGAATATACAAAAATATTTTACATCATTATAAATGAAAATTATTATTATTATTTTAAATTAATATGGTAAACATGTTTGTGTTTGTATTTTCCATAAAATAGCATTTATCTTTTGGGCTCAAACTTGAAAGAGAAAGCATTTGAAATAACTAATTTATACCATGCAAATAGTTGAATATGTAACTTGATATATCGATTAGATATAGCATGGACAATGTCATAAATGAAGTTTAGGAGAATAGTAAAATAGTCACAAAATGGCAATGACATTCATAAAAACAATAAATTATTTCCCACAATGTCCAGGTCTCCTACAAATAGGACTTGATTATGTTTCCAGATAGTATAAAAGTAACAGCTGCTAGTTAACAACTTGCATTTTCAGTTTTAAAATATACTCATGATAGAATCTGATTTGAAAGGACATCTTGATTCCACTGTCTCAATAGGATACTTGAACTCTAAAGTGAAATGGGCATCCTGCCTTGTGGATTTATTGGCTAATTGTTTTAATGGAAATGCATTAAAAATGAGTGGAAGGTATTTTGCTAAGGAGTGACACAACACCACAGTATTGTTCACTGCAGTCTTTCAATGCATCTTTAAAATGACCCTCAAACATGCTGTAATCAGTGTTGACTATATCTTAAGGCTAAGAAATAGTTGCTGTTTCTGTTGATAGGAACTCAGATGATATCAGCGAAAATTAATTGGATTCTTTAACTGGATTCTGTTTATTAGTTTGAATAATCTCCCTTTCCCTTATTGTTTGAGTGATACTGCTTACTTGTTCCAGCTTCTACCAACCTAACAGTTTGAAAGCACATAAAAATGCAAGTAGGGACCACCTTTGGTGGGAAGGTAACAGTGTTCCGTGCGCCTTCAGCGTTTAGTCATGCCGGCCACATGACCATGGAGACGTCTTCGGACAGCGCTGCCTCTTCGGCTTTGAAACAGAGATGAGCACCGCTCCCTAGAATTGGGAACGACTAGCACATATGTGTGAGGTGAATTTTTACCTTATATGAGGCTGAGTGAGGAAAAATCACCTGAAGACTATATTCTGGGTTTCTACAAATGGGAAAATGGGTTGCTTATAAGCTGCATAGGAACATATAGCCAAAGTCTCTCAAATTGAGCTTAGCTCTTGAGAATTCCATGTCTATTTGATTTTTTGATGGACATGTGGTGGCCCAAAAATTCCCATTTACTAGGAATTTTTGTCTGCTTTTAACTCCCTAGTAGACAGAATAGCCCTTGAATTTCTTATTGGCCTCATTTCCAAGTACCAAATAGGTTCAATTTTGCTTAGATCTGCCGATCTCAGTTATCCGTAAGATGGTAGCTTTTTTAAAAAAAAGATTCATTTTACTGATATTTCCAATACACTGCAGGAGAGTTAGAGACAAATTAGCTCCGCTGTTGAACACAAGCCTCATATAGAAATCACCGACGCCCAGACCTGCTTTAAGACAGACACAGAAGCCTTGTGTAGAAGTGCCTTTAGTTTTGTATTTTGAGTGTATTTTTCTACTGTAGCGTTATTTGTAATTTTATTTAATACTTTCTCCTCTTGTCATATTGTAGTTTACTGTTTCTATAGAAACATTTATTTTTATTTTAATGTTATTTGCAGATAACATTATTATCTTTTAGATGGAATGGGAGATTAAACCACACACAGAGAGAGAGAGAAAGGGAGGGAGAGAGAGAGAGAGAGAGATGATGGCTCATCTTAAAAGACAATTCTTAGGGGCTCTCAGCAATAAAACCCAGAACTATAAAAACCTGGTCCTAGATCAGCATTCAAGTACAAAATGAATCAGGATCTTAGCTACGTAGCTTACTTAGCTTCAGTATCAAATCTGATACTGAATCTGGCAACATTGCTGATCATTGTTGATTTCCTGCTATGTATTCAAAATGTGTGTGTGTGTGTGTGTGTGTGTGTACACATGAATAGAGTAGAGTAGAGTAGAGTAGAGTAGAGTAGAGTAGAGTAGAGTAGAGTAGAGTAGAGTAGAGTAGAGTAGATAAATTGGAATAGAACAGAACA